TTCTTGCAAATATGTGACTAACAGAATATTTACAATTTCTCCTTCTTTTCTTTCACAACTCATGTTACATGTTTTTCTTCAGTGGTTGAGAAACTGTAAGGACACATTTCCAAGGTGTCCTGGTGACAGTGTGGTTACCTGCCAGCCTGGGGACTCAGAAGAGAAGGTACGCTCAACGTATTTACAAGTTATCTATGAACCATATACAAGTGTAGAATTTACAGGCAAACAGGTTCGATGTCTAGGTAGCTTCATCTGTGCTTCATGTTTCTGTCTCTCTTTGCTTCGTTGTTCCTGTGTGATTTTGACACACTGAAATGTTTGCTCTCTTTGCATGTTTGTTGTGTTATCTCTTTTGCCCTCCAGACCTTTTCTCCTAGCCACAGAGAAGTCAAATTTAGAGTTGCTGTTTTTTACACTGTTGACTAATTCTTGCTAGCCTGATTGTGAATAGCCATGGTGCTGTGCATGTGTTTGATTGACACTTTGTCTTCCTCTCACTTCACTCTGACGCCCTAACATGCTCTCTCGCTGTGTAGCAAATGGAGTCTCTTGCAGTAAGTTCTCTTACAAGTTTCTTCACTTCACTGCCGTAGATTCCTCTTGAATAAACTGCTTACTTTACCTTGCACAAGACAAAACTGCTTCCGTGTTTGTTACTCTTGCATGTGTGTGTATCAGAAGTGTGAACTTATGAGAAAGTGTGACTGTGTTATTGTATGTGTTCTCCACCATCGATTAATCTGACTTTGCATTCTTTTTTTAATGTTTTCTAGCAACTGGAGCTTTGTCAGAGGCTCTACAAGCTGCACTTCCAGCTCCTTCTACTATTCCAGTCCTACTGCTCACTCATTGGTCAAGTTCATGCCATCAGCTCTGTGCCTGAGGTGAGCCAAATTGTACTTCATAAAGAAATCCCTTAGTCTAGTAGAACAACCTTCTCTTGTGTTTGAAGATTTACGTAGTCCGTAGTTACAAATAGGTTTCATACCGACACCCTGCATGTTTTTCTGTTTGACTGCTGGTATGAAAAGATGCATATTCCACATAAAATATCTGTCATCTGAAAAACTGGGTGCTTACTTATTCAGCGGGATTGATAGTTACGAGAAGTAAATCACTAAATTATTTTAAAAGTGAATTTATGGTCTTACAAAGATTTTAAAATGAGACTATAATTTTTTCCAAATAATTTAGAATACTGTTGATCTGAAGAAAAACCCTTCTACACTGCAAGTTTCTAGCAATAACCTAGAGGATTAAATGTAATTTTCTAAATATTCCCTCTGTGATGACATTCAGCTCACATACTCAACCACTCTCTGTTGTCCAACCTCTTAGCTGCTGAACATGTCTCGAGAGCTCACTGATCTGAAGACCAGCCTGCAGGCAGCAGAGGCGGCTGTAGCCAGCGACTTGGAGCACAAACACTTGGCCCACACTCACGCTCATGCCACCCAGGTGGCAGCCATGGTGGTGCCCAGCTTCCCCACCTCGGAGGCAGCTGTGCAGGCCATACTAGAGTGCCTTAAGAACCATGAATTCACCAAAGCTGTGCGCTACATCCAGGAGTGCAGGTGAGTAACTGTCTACAAACCTCTTCCAGATGTCATCAACATCCACTAGTGTGTGCGGATATTTAATATGCTTGAATATGGATATTTTGTGTTCACTATCGCAGATTTTATTGGAGCACAAAAAAGCCTAACACATGAGTGACCATAACCCTAACATGACTTTACCATCTTGTCTTGGTTCCCTTTTAATGGCAGCAAATGACCACCTGAATGCACTGTTACCATATCCATGTAATCCATCTTTTTTATCTCCTTTTCAGGAGGCAGTGGCCCAATGGCGTGTTCGGTGGCAGCTCAGAGACTGAAGTCCAGACGCTGCTCAATGTCTACTTCCGTCACCAAACGCTGGGCCAGACGGGCACCATCGCGCTGGTTGGGTCCCGTCAGGACCTCAGCCTGATCTGCTCCAAGCTGCTGGAACTCAACGGGGAGATCCGCGACATGATCCGCCGCGCCCAGGGGTACCGGGTCGTCACAACTTACCTCCCCGATTCCAGCGCCTCCGGGACCAGTCTCTGACAGGACCTCAGGAGCCCCCCGCCCCCTCCTTCCCCACCTATACCTCCTCCATTACTGCAACCATTAACGCTTCCACATCTCCCACTGGCCTCTCAGCCTGCTCTTACAGAAGGGGCCCAGCACCCACATACGTGGCCTCTGCCTCCGCCTGTGTGTCTCCTGCCCCGGCTGCACAGCTCCAGACAGATACATGCCCACCGCCCCGCCCAGCACTAGAACCAGAACCATACGTAGGCCTAAACCATTCTCTGCTCTCCTCATCCTCATCCACTGTTAACTCTGATACCTCTTTGCATGATTTTCCCAAACCTCCAGACCTGTTCTCATCTCGTCGCTGCTCAAAAACACAAGGCCAACCTGATTTTACACTGCCACGCTCAAAAGAAGCAAGGAGGAGTTATTTCAATGAGAACACTAGCCTTTATTATCCTTTCAGAGGACATTCATCACACAGTTCTCCGCATTTGCACAGCAACAAACTCCCAATATCATCTCTGACATCTAACGCGCTGCCAACCGTAGCCTCAGAGCCCACTTTGCTCACACACGCTTGCACGAATGCATCACTCATTTCTTCTCGGGGCTCACATCTTCCTCATTTCCCTCGCTCTCCGTACAAACACTCAAGCCCATCTTCAGCTCCACACTCGGGCCATGACACAGTCTTAACCCACGGCCCTGCTCCATCTTCATCTCTTCCCCCTCCCCCACCTCCCCCTCCCTGTCCCACCGGCCCAGGAGAGGCTGCAGCATGGGGTTGTTGTTGCTCCCTCGGCGGGGCTGCCACACCCTTATCTCGCTACCTGGGGAAGGTGGGGCACGCTGCCCTGCCCCTATTGAAAGTAGGGGGGCTCCTGAATGCTGAACCGTCAGACGTCCAGACCTGAGACATTAGCCACACCAGAGGACCTGAAGAGCTTAAACCTCTGAACCTATTACCTGAAGCTTACTTTTCCTGAACAACCCTCAGATCTTTGTGTCTGAAAAGGAGACCATGACACGCCTGAGATAGGTGAAGATTTTACACTTTTACGGACAGGGAATTACATCCCATGCCTTCATGGGATGTATCTTTAAACCCACTGGATACGACAGATCGCTGCCTGCTGTTGAAGATGACCTGATGTGATTCTATCCGAGCGCTAGCTTTGCTTCAAAGCTACATGTTGTAAAAATAATGTGCTCCTAGTTTAAGTCCTGCTTGATGATCATCATTCAGCATCTCATCTGTTCTGCACCTGAGGACCTGTGAAGGCTTTTAGCTTGGATTTCTAACCTGCTTCCCAGAGGAACTCAAAACACGATTGAACTTGACTGTTGCTGCCTCCTTCAGGAAGGATGTAGTTTGTTGGTAGTACCACAAGAGACAGTGAGGAAACTACCTATGACTACGTAGCATCACTGGAAGAGTTTCCTCTATTGCACTAAATGGAGTTTTTTTTTTTTTTTTTTTTTTAATGTTACAGAAAAGCAATTATGTTACTGTTTGTTTTGTTACTGTGAGAGAAAAAAGGCTGTCACTTTCACTAAGAAGGAAAAGCCAAATGCTGGAGTCTCTCTTACTGTGTCTACTGTTCTGAGACCTCCGCTGGAGGAAACTGTGCAATGCATGACCCAGTTGAATGCTTTCTACTGTACACGAGTGTCCCTTAAGCACCCCAAAGGTCTGACCTAAGACTGACTGAAAGACTGACAGAGCAGATGCAGAATATTCAAGCATAATTCCTTGTGCTGCTCTCGCCCTGTTTATATTTGTATCAGTGAACCAGCTTGTCCTCTGACTACTATTGTACACATTGATAGACTACTCATGCCATTATCTGTGTGTGGCGTACACTCCTCTGTGGCTAGTTGTAGCATCATTAGTGAGTGTACACACTAGATTTCACACTGTCCTACACTGTTACATGTTGACTTTGTGTTCACATGCCAAGAGGATGGTGCATGTATACACTCAATATTTTGTCTTTCGGCCTGTATACTGTTAATAGTTCTGGTCACACAATCATAGTAGCATATGTTTGTGTGTGGTTTGTAGTTACCTTACACGTAAGGGATATGCTGACATTCAGCACTCATTGTTGATGTTCAAAACAAAACCTGTGCTACTACTGAAGTTGAACGCTTCTTGTCGTCAGCCCTTTTTGTGACTCTCCCTTGGTTCCCCTCCAGCAGTCACTTGCCCTTTGCTGTACAAATGTCTTTTTTCCTATTTATATCTGATCAGCTATAAATCACTCATTTGACTTAGGTTTTATATTGATGTTTGTTCTCTCAAATCAAACTGCCATGCATGCATCCTCTGTGTACTGTACGGAGTGTTTGAAATATTTATTAACAAAAATCATATTTTATCTGAAAGATACGTTTGTATGAGGTACAAAAGGGAGCTTCAAGCTCACGCGGGTGTGTTTTTTTTCCTGTGTGTGTCGGAGAACGTGTGTTTGCATGCCAAACGAGAAGTTGCACATTTTTAAAGCTTTTTAGATGAAGACAGTAGTTGTTTTTTTTCCACCTTGTAAATACTTTTACAGCCTTTGTGAAGTTGTTTTGAGTTGAAGCTCTGTACCAGTTGGTGTCAAAGTAAAGACATATCAAAATTATTTCTCGTGTTTTTCACGCAGAGTTCTCATTTAAGTTAGAATATGAGATCTAAGATCATTTGTTTAACCCACCTAGCTAGAAGTTGTTTACCCTCAGCACTGACCTTTATGCCTATTGAGTAAAACTGAATCTTTTAATGACATTTACAAGTTTTATTAGAAATTAGCTGCCTTCCACCAGCAGGAGTCAAACCAAGATGAGCTGCTTGTGCATCAACAGCTTTTGCCAAGTTATGAAATCAGAATACAAATTCACTATGATGTAAAAGAATCTGAACTTGTTGCAGTGTACATTTTATTAACTTTATTTCTTTTTTTGTTTTTACAAAAATAGCTTTCATGTTTTGTTAAGCACCAGGATGAATAGGGGGAGGGCATCTCACATAAACAACCAAGGCAGAGATTCGGCTTCTTGCAGGAGAATAAGCGTCTCTCTTTTCAAGTGTGTTGCTGGAGGCAGCTTCCATTGGCGACGTGTACTAGATGTTTGTTGACATTAGTGACATGATCTCAAACCTGCAAGCAGATATGTATGGTGACGGATGTGCTCGGCGGCTCAGACGATGTATTTGAAGCTGTAGGTGGCATCGCAGGACAGCCTCATTCCTTTGCAGCGACAGCACAGATCCTGACGGTGAGGCCTCTTCATGTTGATGTGCCGCTGCTTCCTCTCACAGCTGCAGCAAGTCTGAGAGCAGCCCTGAGACGGGGCAGTAAACGGAAGAATGAAGTTTGTTATGTTGGAGGAGGTTTATGACCCCCGCAGACAGGTGCTCACATTTTATGAGACTCAAAGTGCCTTAGAAGTCTCATCTAGTTTACTTTAGACACCAACCAAAATCATGCCCCTCTAACAGGTTTCAATCATTGCTGCACCTTTCAAAGCACCACATTCAAGATACACCAAACCTGAGAGATCACATTATACTGGGGTATTCCTTCAAAGGCATGTAAATATACCTTGCAGAGGATGGACTCCACCCTGTACGGGTTAAATCCCACCTGACACTTCCGGCAGAGCTGCTTGTAGTACACCTGACAGAAAAACAATCACTGATATAATATTATGAATGCAGACATGACTTAGTGCATGATAAACTGCAGTAGATCTCTTACCTTACTGGTTCCAGAGATGCACCATACATAAGCACTCTCCCACCGGATGTTACACTTTTTACAGTGGAAAAAGCCATACCTCTGCTCCAGGAACTGAAATAAACACATTTCAGGAGGTCATTTGTGCACAGAATCTTTACATACAATTGTGTTGTGAGAATCAGCATGTTTCTGTGCATCAAACTGAAAACTTATTTAAACCAGGCTTGAAAATTTCATATTCAGCTTGGCAAAATGGACATACAGAGGCCACAACAGCTCCAGATTCACAGCGTTTAACTGCTGCCTTTTATAATGTTGGGTAAATCCAAAAACTTCATGCACTGCAATGCAATTTCCACTTTTCTCTTCACATAGTTTAGGCACTTTTTTTGTGGATAAAATCTGCATCACATTTATGCATCTTTTTAATATTACATCATGTTTTATACATAGCACTTTAAACTACCTTGTTAAAACCTACTATACCAAGAAACTTTCATTGCCTTATGATGATAAAAATACAGAAACATTATTATTATTCAGGCCTGAAAGTTGGTCTCTGTATTACCGGATCTTGATATTCCACATCCTATAAAAGGGTCTCTTTATATATGAAAAATACAGTTTTGTTAGTTCAGTATTGTGGTTCAGATTGTCTTTATGAAATTAAGTCAAACTACACAATGCACAGAGAATGGAGTCAAAGTGGCTTTTTTGGAAGCTACATGTTGTGTTTTCAGAATAAACATGAATCACAGTGTCAGTACTGGAAGGTGGGCCCCAATCAGCTCCTTAATTATACATCAAAAAGGTGAGAATGTTTGAATCCACTTAAGTGACTTTTCTTCAGGGTTTCTTGACACAGAAACCGACCTGAAAGTTGGAGCCCCTTGTAGATCGTTGCGGAGTTGTCTTTAAGTCCTTCTCCTCGTCCTCCTCCTCCTTCTCGCTTGCCTCAGTCTCAGCATCGGACTCGGAGTGTTTCGTGGCTTCTTCGGCTTCTCCTTCGCTTCCATAATCATCGCCGAGTTTCTTCATGGAGATCCGGCGGTCGAACACCGGCGAGTAGATGGACACGGGTCTGAGGAAGCGCAGGTTGCTCACCGGCGGGGTGCTGAGCTGCGCCTTGCCGTCCGGCGGTGCGCATAGCTCCGGGCTCCTGGGAGGCTTGGAGGAGGAAGAGGAGGAGAAGGAGGAGGAGAAGGGGGGATGGTCGTCGCAGAACAGCGTCTTGGGACCCAGAGAACACTGGACGATTTTATCCACCTTCGCGTTCACCTGCACGCCGCACTCCTTGGTGTTGGCTTTCTTGAGAGGAGGCTGTAGGCTGGGGTTCACCTGGGACAGGATGGCCTTGCAGAGCTCCAGGTAGTTCAGGCCCTGCGGGGTCATGAAGTCCCTCTTGGCCCAGCCGCTGCCCGGAGCCGGCGGAGCGCACACCGGGTTACCGTACACATTGAAGGGTGGAAACGTGGACAGGAACCCGTCCATCCTGGAGCCATGAAGCCATGAAGCCAGCGAAACTTCTCCCTGCTGGGATTTATGCAGTTGCCTATTTGCAGCACTGATTGGGTAATTGAGAGCAGGGGTGTGCAGGCTCTCTCATTGAATTGACAGAAATATTTTTTTGTAAATTATTCAGCTAGAAGTTTAAAAATCCAATGTATGAATTAAATATGTGTTCCCATAAACTCTCCACCGACAACCACAGAGATAGCTGCAGAAGCATAGATCTGCATTTTGGGGATCTTAAATAATTAATATTGAATATTGTAAAGTTTTAACTATAAAGATTCTATAATATTTTATTATTATTATTATTATTATTATTGCAGTTTCAATTAACTGAATTCGTGCCATATGATTTCACTGGAAACTTACTGGTAAAATTGGAGTCTGCTTGTTCCATTTTTCCAACCTAAAATTGGATTAAATTCATTTTATAATCAGCTGCTAAAAGCAGGCACAGTTTTTGTATTTTTTTTTTTTTAACAGGACTTGAATTTCCTTAATCTGTATTTTTTTCTCTTTTCTTATTTATTTGTATTGTGGTGGTAACTTTACTCTTTCTGCTTGCTACTGTAACAACATAATTTATATATATAATTCTATCCTATTTTGTTCTATTTTCTATGACTGTCTTTCTAGATTCTCTGCAGGAGGTGCTTCAGACTTGAAGGGTGCAGAAGTGAAATATTATATTGGAGCTCCCCCTATAGCTCATGTAAACCAGAGAACCTTCACAGATAGAAAGACAAAGCAAGCAGCTTATTCATGAAGCATTTATTCATTTGACTTTCATTTTCCTTTCGCTCTCTGAACCAGCTCGGCAAGAAGATCTCTGTCGTAGATTAAAATCATTTGACGCTTCTTAGTGAAATCAATAAAAGCAGAAAAAATAGAGTTGTTAGAATAAAGAGGAGCAGATGTTCTATCATGGAAAAGTGTCCAAATATGATTGAATATGTTAGCAGACAAAGGAGAGGGGAAAGTAAATGACTGTACAGTAATGTAAAATGTATTTGCATGAATAGTGGCACACTGACTTTACACTGTTCCCTTTTGATAGGCCTTTAAAAATGTGAATAGCGCCATTCAACTGCAGCTAAATGGATTGTAAATATAGTTTACACGGAAGAAACATGAATGCCAGCCTGATGAGGACATTATGATTATTGTGACCCTGTCTTATTTATGGGATCATTTTGGCACAAAAAAAAACGAACTCACTTGAATCACGGGTTGTGGGTGCGTTCAGGTGCTATCGGACAACTGCGTTTTCACAATTTTAGAGCGAAAGTACAGAACTCTTCTTGGCATTAAAGGCAACTATTTAAAAGGAACTCCGTAGTGAACCAAAGTGTGGTAGTGCAGCAGTCTGTAAACACACTATTTCAGTGTCTGTGTAACTTGTTGGCTATGGTTTAGCTAGTACACGTTGTTATATGAATAATTAAAACTATTATTAGGGATTGTTGGTCAAGCAACTGGATGGCTTAAATAGCAACTTATTACAAAGGAAACTAATATTTTTGTTTATTTTCACTCTAATCTTTTAGTGTACCTTATGTTATTATTTTTTGAGTATTGTACACACGTAAAATAACTATACCGGGTGTCTGTTAAGTATACGTGTGTCTGGATATTTTGTAATCTTATACAAGATGAATTTGTATTCACTTAAAATAAAAACTAGAATGGTACGAGCATCACTTGAAGGGCTCAGCAGCCCTACACAGACTCGCTCTATAGGTGGCGCTGCGCACTCATCGATGGCTCGCACCCATGGGCACTGGATCTGTACATATTGGCGCCATTTTGGAGCTAGGAGGGGGAAGAGAGCTGCAGAGGAGGACACGATTTATCACAATTCACCGTAACAGGTAAGAAAATGCACAAATAAGAAAATCATTCTGATTGAAAAGCAGCAATATTTTCAGGCGCCGCTGCGAAAAAATCCGTAAATTGTAGGATGTTCCCGCGGAGAGCTCCGGTTTCCAGCGCTAAAAAGGCGGAGCGCAGCCCGCCTCGCTCGCCTGTGTTCTCGGCAGCCTGGTCCGATTCACGGCGCTGGTTGACCTGGTGCTGCGGCGCAAAATGGTTAGCTAGTAAAATACTAGCCTGCTGGCTTTTTTTTTTTTTTCGCTCTCTGTCCCGGCAGCAGGAGCGAACGGTGACTCGACTCGGCGGTGCGGTTGTGGTCGGGGTGACGATATAACGGTAGTTAGCCGGGCTGTTTTGTTCGGTGCAGCGTTACTCTCTGTCCGCCCTCTGTCACTGAGATTGCTGCTGCTAACGCTAGCTCGGGCACGCTAAGGCAGCAAGCTAACGGCAGCTAGCTAGATTAGCCACGGTCAACATTACAGCAACAAAGCAGTCTGGCTGTGGCACAGTCCCTGGCCTTGACATGCTGCTGTACCATAACAATAACCGCTATTCATAAAGTGTCCCCTGTATCCCCACCAACCAACGTTCACTCACTTAAACCCGATTTTAGAAATCATTTTCAACTCAACGCTAATAGTAATCCGGTGGCTGTTTACATTTATTGTCGTTGTAACTCATTATTATGACTATTAAAACAAAGCGTGTTGGTGTTTTATTGCAGAGAAATCCTCTTATAGTAGAAATGATGTGTTTAGGTGTCGCCCGGCGGCGTAATTGATGTCATTGCAATATTTACTTTTTATAATTAAAAGTTAGCACACCTGGTTTGCGTACTGTTAATAATATGGCATTAATGTACCGTTAATCAGCCGCTTTAGCTACCACAAGTAGTTGTCTATGAACCAGGTCGCTGCATTTTATTCTACCGTGGCAGGACAGTCACCTTCAGGGTGCTGCAGTGCATTTGTTGTGACAGCTATCAGCCAGTGATTTTTGAATGGTGTCACCATCAACATTGCGGATTGGTCAGCGGATCAGAGGATGTTAAAAAAAAAAAAGAGTCTCTGAAATATCTGATTATATGACCATGTACGACGGATTTGGGGTTTTAGACACACTGATTAATTTTTATTTTTTTATTTTTACCCCATAACAATCAAAATATTCAAGACAACCCCCTCAAATAGCCCAAATGGAATTTAGTCTAGTAATCTTTGGTGGCATTTTTTTTTTTATTTGACAGCTTGTGCACATAGTTTCTTTTTATTTTCATTTTATATATATTTTTGAATGGTTTTCTATCAGACGACAAGGGCTAATGTTTCATCTAGAGCCACGATTTGGTAGCATAGAATGATATGCAGAAAATGAATCAAATTGCAATTGTTTTTGAGAGACAATAGGTGTCACAAGTTTTGTGGGAATGGTCATTTTTGCATTTCCCTTCCACTGAAACAAATGTACATGTGATTTTTACTACGTTTTGTACTAAAGAAGCAGGTTTCCTTTTAACTAGAAGATATGATTTGTAGCCCTGGGCATCTTTGTAGCACCAAATGCTTAATTTATAACTGTATATTGTGACACATTTTACCCATTTAAAAAAATGCAGTTCCTGCAATTTGGATATTGCTCTTGGCCATATTGCAATTGCGATAGTGTTTTGATTCGTTTTTCAGCCTTACTTTGCAACAGTTCTTGAGGATTTCATATTGGTTTTGGGCATTTGCTTGTCTCTTTTCAGAATCTAATGCAGGCTGTGGTCCTTCAGCGGTGACTAAATGAAAAGCTGTGCGCTATTATATTTGGTTACATTTTTGCTCTTCATGTCCACAGTGGTAGTCTTTTTTTTTCTGTGGTGGCTTGCTTGTGGTAAATGGATGAAGAGGTGCAATATTGTCTGAACTGCCTAGTTCCCTCAGACATGTGATTCAGCAGTGCTGTCTGCTTTTAGACGTTGTGGCTCCCCTTGCAGTGTCTCATCTTTGGAGGTTTTCCTCCAACTTTGGCTCATTCTCATAACCTTTGCACTGATTTAAACCCTCCTTCCTTGCGTTATTGTTGTTTCTGGACAGCCTTCACTGGTTTAGATGTGGCTGCGTTCAGAAAATGTTGTCCATTTCATTTAATCAGGGGAAAACTAAACTCTTTCGACAGTCCTTCCCTGTTCAGCCAGTTCCCCTCATTTTGTGTTTGTGTGAGTGCCCATACGGAGGTCGTTGAGTTCACCCTTTGCAGCCAGCTGGTGTCCAGTCCTCGCTCTGTTTGCTGACATTAACCCTCTTCCCAGCGATCAGCCACAGGGTTAAAACCAAGGATGTCTCTGTCAAGGTTTAGATTAGGTTAGAAGAAAGGCTCAGAGTCCTCAGATTTCTGCTGGCAGCTGTGTTAAAGGACTAAATTGAGAAAAGCAGAAGCAGCGAACAGACAGAACACCATCAATAGGGGGGATAAATGTGTTTAACTGTGATAAACCAGTAACGAGTTGAAAGTAGCCCCTGTTGAGGAGGTTGAGTGTAGGGTAAAGCTAGCCTCTTTGTGATTATTTACTGCTGCTTCTTGTGAAACATTCCCTGGTGGATGCTACCCACACAGACACCCCAGGTCGAGAAATAATCCACTCTGATTGGCTGCCAGAGCTCTCTGTGTGTCAGTGTGGTGGAACGAGAGAGGGATGGACTCAAATTTGGCAGCAGCTGTGGGGTGGAGAAGAAGGTCAGAATCAAGCAATTTGGCAGACTGCCAGTGTCCAGTGTGTGTGTGTGTGTGTGTGCGCGCGTGTGCGTGCATATGTGTGTGTGTGTGTGTGTCTGGCCTTGCATGTGTGTGTTTGTAAAAGCTCGAATACAGCTACAGAACATTGTTAGGTTGTGATTCATAACTCCGTATTGCGGTCTGGCCTCTTAATCTAGCGCTTTTGTCAGACGGCAGACCCACTGACCCAGACTGTTTCCCAGTCATCAATTTTTCTTATGTGATAAAAGCAACATAAATTGAATTCATAAATGGGGCAGTAGTTACAAAAGAGCATTAGCCGTGCATTTATTTCATGCTTTTAATAACAGTTTATGTGCATTGTTTTTGTTGTTGTTGTTTTGAAAGGT